CGTCTGAGGCTCGTCCTCGTCCCCTAACCTGAGATTCCGTTGTACTCACACTCGTTTGGTCCAGGCGCATCAGGTCAACGCCCCAGTGACCACTGCACCTTCTTCTCTTTTTTTATTTTTGCTTATATTCCCACATTTGTTTTTATTTTTATTACATATTAACAAAATATTCATTCAATCTGTCTCAAATTTTACAACAAACTTTTGTAAAATTTTTTCCATTCACAAAAATAAAATAAATTAAATATTTTCTAAAAAAAAAACGTCAAAAAAATTTACCACAATTTAAATTCAATAAAATTAGAAGTAAAAAAAAATTTCACTCGAATAAAAACCTAAAAATCTTTCCAAATGGCCATTATTAAAATAAAAATAGAGTCATTAAAATAATAATAAACCCTCTAAAAAGCTCTGACACTTAGATTACTAAAATAAGTACGAGTTTATTGCTACTTCGAAATGATCAGGAGGAATAAAAAAAAATTCCAATCTCAATTTGAAAATCGAGCAGGAAAGAACGGATAATATTATCGGTTTAACGAGCCGTCGATCCGCGAATAATGCTCGAGTACCGCCGATTATTGGACTTAACTTCTATTCGAGCCATAAAAATAAATATATAATATAATGTGGATGGACGTTATTACGTGAAGGTTGAATACAAACTCGAATACATCGTACGAAGGAGAACGCGTGCTGGAATATGATATCGCGAGTGGCATTTCTCGATTTCAAAACCACAAACCTCCTCAACTTATTCCATTCTCCTTACTCCGTACTTACTCCATACTTCATTCTTGAGCTTTGTCCTACCTGGTACCCAGCAGTCTGCCATTCTTATTTCACATATATATATATATATACTGTAGACGTATATATATATAAAACTATTGGCATTGCAATGTAATATTATCACGCGTAATGGCTCGCTAAGTTGATCATTATTACCCGTTTTGTGGTTTTCCTCAAGTTTATCAATCGTATTTTTGTTTTTACGCGCACAGCGATTATTATATCCTTACCCGAAACGATCTTTTTTGTTATCGACATAATTATTTTTATAAAACTTGTGTTTTATTGATTTTTCACGCAAAAAATAACAGTTTTTACACTGAAAATAATTGCATTGATTCAAGAGGAAAATTTTTTAACCAATAAAATAATTTTAAATTAAAAATTGGTACCAGCGAGATTTTTCTAATCGCTCGGTTATAAATAAAAAATAGTCGTCAGTATAGTTAGTGTTTTGTGGAAAGAAATGACCGGTATCGGTATAGGTACATTCGTATGTATTTGCCGTGGAACGTGTGAGTGCAATGGAACAGAACATACAACAGAAGAAAAGAACTTGTCCAGTGGCGATAAAGTAACGAGGTAAACGAATTAATCACCCGTTCAGATTATCGAGCAAACAGTAACAGCAATAGTAACAGATCCTGGTTATACGTGATTGAAATGGTAACGAGCTACGACGAATCTGTTGAGTATCAGGCCACACCCATCAACGGTCCACTATCCACTCTCCAGTGATAAGCCTCGCAATATCTCGCGGATAGAGAAATCGCTGTAAAATCTCGCAGAAGCTTAGAAAAAAAAATTAATTTAATGGAAAAATCCTTGGATCAAAAAAATTATTTTGAAGAGTTTTTATCTTGAAAAAATACCATTGAAATTTTTAACAGAATTAGGGTAGAAGTACCGTTTATGGCCATTTATTGTTTAAATAAACGATAAAAATGAATTTATATTAATAAACCATCACAAACCCAATTTGTTTTAATATAAACTAGAAGAAATTTGAATAGCGCGCTACGCGCGCGCCTAAATTTTGACCAATAATGAATCGTGGTCCGTTTTTTGCGAGTTTCGACCTTTGACTAACTTCAAGACTTTCATGTAATTTAATTTAGAGGATTTTTTAAAACTCAACAAAAATATGGTTATCATATTATAATTTTTTATAAATTAATTCAAATTTTAACTGGCCAAAAACGGTGCTAATGTGGCCAAAAACGGTACCTCTACCCTATATCAAGAATTTTTCGGGACAATGATATTGATATTGACATCACACATTACATATGTTACATATTTAAGATAGTGGAGGTGATAGACGAATGTAGGGTGACTCTTTCTTAGCTATCTGCATCCGGCAGACTGCAGAATAGGCGAGAAAATATGCTCGAAGATTTCTCTCGGGAGACCGATACAATATCCAGCTCCCTCAATGGCTTTCCTCATATCAATGAATCGTTTTCATCTGCCTACGCGGAGATATACGTCATGTATGATGTCTTGATGGCTTTGGGTTTTTGTTGAAAATTTTAGGTGCAATTTATGACTATCGATTAACATCGCAGCCTTCAATTTATAAAATTATTCATGTTAAAAAATTCCAAAAATGAAAAACATTTTTTTGAGATAACTTAGAAACTATTCGTTCAATCATTTGAAAACCTTATATACTACTTTTAGTGCTTGAAAAACTACGTCGATTGTCGTCAATAAAACCAAAATTGAACCTTGCATTCAAAAGATACTGCAGTTTAAAGATTTCCAAAAATTGACAAGGTAATATTTTGAGAAAAATTATTTTCGAGTGTTTTGCGCTCAAAAATAGTCAAAATAAATTCCAACGATATTTTGCAGAATGAAAAATTAAAATCTTTTGATTTTTAAAAAAATGAATAAATTTAGAATTGAAATGATTTGACAAAAAATGAGCCTTTAAAATACCAAGACGGAAAAAAAATAAAACCGGTATGGTTGATTTCCTGATTGAATAAGCTGAAAAACTAAAGCCACCTAATTAGTATAATTAAATAATTTCCAACCGCCAAAAAATAAAGCAACTACTACAACCTGCTGCTCTTACTTATACTTACCCGAGATGATGATGGCTGATGGCTGATGGCTGTCGTTGATCTAATACTTGAGTTGATTCGCGGTGAAAGCCCCGAGGCCTCAAGGTCCAGTATGAGGCTTACAGCTACCAGTGTACAGCGACAGATCGATTTATTCGTATGTACACGAGCTTAATGTGTGTGTAATCTTGCACGCCGATCCCCGCTAAGCGATATCTATCTGAAACCCGCTCGACAACAGTTATCCGTTCATTCAAGGTGCACAACATCCACAGGCTACGACTACTATCTTGTGCTTATACTACTATTCACACTCGATCCAAATACAAACATCGAGAAGAAAACAGAGAGATAATATTGAAAATTTAGTCCTATTCAGATCTTGCTACTCTGTATCTCTGAAGATCGGTAATCTTATATTTCCATACAATTTGTACCTTGTAACCTCAATCTAAACATTTGAATAGTATCTATCGTGTATCTTCATCCTTCAAATGAGAGGTCACTTTTTATTTAACAAGATGATTAAAATTAATTTGAAAGAAGAAAAATTGTTGTAGTTGATGTAATGTGTACTTGGAGTAAAACACTAAGGTGTCTTTAGTTATTGCTTAAAAAATGATAAATTGAAGGTTAAAATTTGAAAACGAAAAAAATATACTTTTGAATTTTTTATTAATAATTTTAAAACGACAATTTTTTTTTTATTTCTAAGAAATTATAAATAATACCCGTAAAAAATAATTTATTATGGTCAAATATGCCCTATCTAATTTTTCGATCAAAAATAGTATTGAAAATTTCCTATAGATGGCGTATGATCGCTAAATTTTCTCTTTAGAAGAGAGTTATGTTTCAGAATTTAAGTAATAAAATTTAAATAATTTTTTTTTATTCTTAGAAACTTAAAATTTTTTTCTTAATAAATACGTTTATATAAAAAATAATTTAATACTAAAAAAAAAATTTTTTTTAAATGGCATTAAAATTGAAAAAAATTTTTTTTTAATTCCAAATAATTATAACCTGTTTGTTATCTTCAAAATCATCTCCAAATTTTCTAATTTGACTGAAAATCCTGTAGTTGATGTAACTTGTACTTGTAGTAAGACACTAAGATATCTTTAGTTTTTATTGCTTAAAAAATGATAAATTTTAGGTTAAAATTTGAAACGAAAAAAATATAATTTTAAATTTTTTATTAATAATTTTAAGACGATTTTTTTTTATTTTTTAGAAATTATAAATAATACTCGTAAAAAATACTTTAATATGACCAAATATGCCTGTATCTAATTTTTGGATAAAAAATAGTATTAAAAATTTCCGATAGATGGCGCATGGTCGCTAAATCTTCTCCTAAGAAGAGAGTTATGTTCCAGAATTTAAGTAATAAAATTAAAATAATTATTTTAACTTTTAGAAACTTAAAATTTTTTTCTTAACAAATACTTTTATATAAAAAATAATTTAATACTAAAAAAAATTGTTTTAAATGGCATTAAAATTAAAAAAAATTTTTTTTTTAATTCTAAAAAATTATAACCAGTCTATTATCTTCAAAATTTTCCAATTTGACTGAAAAATCTTCCCAAAGATCATAAAATTAATTCTCCAAGATTCTGGAGGGGACCAGCTGGTAGTAAGCGGCTGAGCGATACCAGAGCTGCGAGCAGCAAGTGGTCAAGCAGTTAAACACTTGCTCAGGTTATAAGATTTCCCTCCTCCTCTTCCTGTTGGTGATCCTGCCTTGGGCTAAGAGTTCTCCTCTTTTCGCCTCTAGGCCATTCTCGAGAGTCGCGCGCGCCAACGTGGTCTCTGTCAGGTCGACCAATACAATCTTTCTCCATTATCATTATTACTATAATTATTATTGTTGTTATTGCCGTTTCAAGCATTTGACAGAAGTTAGAAGTAAAATAATAATTAACCCGCGGACCAAATTACCACGTGATAAAATAAGTGAGTGCCTAAAAATGTGTCGCTGGGTGACGAGTGTCGAGTTTCTAATTGACTGACAATAAAGTAATTTAAAAATCAAGATTACGTTTCATTATCAAGATATTAATGAATGTCAATATGTTAATTTGTCTGACCTGGAGATAATTGACCTTTAATCCTTTAACCTCCTGATTGATGTCGGGTAAGAACAGGAACATGTCGCCGTTAGAAGAGTCCTCTCCGAGGAGTTCCGAGACGGAAATCCCCGACAATATGCTACCGAGGGAGATCAGAATCGGCGGACAAAATAAGCGGAAGCGCGATGGAAGTTTTAGGAAACTCGCGGGTTCTCCTATCGAAGATCAAAGTCAAAATCAAAATGATAATGATGATGATGAAAATGACAGCAGCAATAATAATAATGACGTTGCGTTTGTGCTAGAAGAAAGTGGAGAATTGAGGGATGATGTAAGTGAATATTAATAATTAATAATTGATTGTTGTTGTTGTTATGATGGGAAAATAGAGAGGTATGCTTAAAACCTGTTATGTTGTATGATTATGTCCGGTAGGTTCGGATGTCAGGTGGGATTGGGATTGAGGAGACACATCTTGCCTTGGGCAGACCAAACTATGCCGATCGGTTTTTACGAGGTAACTGTCCAGGTCCAGAGGGTTCCCCAGTCACCCTCGGGGTGCTAACCGTTTAACAGTTTGAGTCACACCTTTATATAGAAGTATATAAACGTATGTTTATATATATATATAGGAAGGAGACGCCGTTAGTCATGATGTGTCTTACTCATGTCTCCGAGAAGCCGTGTGAGAGTTGTTTTTTATTGATTATGGAATAAGAATGATGAATAAATTTGTGCTAAGTGACCTCTAAACGGGTTTTGTTCATTTACGTTCTAGCGTTTTTTAATTTTTTTTTATGAGGAAATTTAATGGTTGGACATTTTTTTTAAGAAAGTTTTGGAATTTCATTAGTTTAAATGCGAGGTTTACAATAGCTTAGAATTAGATTGGTATTTTTTGTAAATTTTTTTAATTTTTGTGATGGAGAATTCTTTAGATTGGGTCAATTTAATAATAAAAAATTTATGAGCACATATATATATATATATATAGATTTTTACCAAAAATATATGTGAACATTTCTTTATTTATGTCTTATATAAAAATCATTCATATATTTCAAAAATTTATTTTTAATAGACCAATTTTTGTACGCTGATAAAAAAATTGAATCAAGAGCCAAAATCTTGAATCAAAAATACCATTTTGAGAAAAATGATTTTTTTGAGTCAAGAGAATAAATTCTTGAGACAAAAAAAATTTACTTAAATCAAAAATAATTTCTTGACTCAAGAAAATCATATTCTTTAAAATGGTATTCTTGGTTCAAGATTTATGACATTAAAGTTAGCAATCACTAAACAATTTTTTAATCTTAGTTGACAAAAAAATTATTTTAGAAAATTGCATTTTTTGTTTTTTCAAATTTCTACATGTTAATTTTTTTTTTCTAATTTTTTTTGCCATAATTTATTTGTTACAAAATTATTAAATATACGCTAAATTAATTTACATCAAGATTTTGGCTCTTGAATCAGGTTAATTTTTTTATCAGTGTATATATTTTAGATATAATTAAAATATGTTTAAAAAAAATCGGCAAAAATTAAGCTATTAAAAATTCATTATTTATATATTATTCTTTAATTTATAATTATTTTAAATTTCTACAAAATAAATGGCGTTTAAAATTTTTTTCACAAAATATTTAGATTCCTTTAAAAAAAAAAAATATTTGAAGATTAAGATCTAGAATTCTTGTATAAATGCCAAAAAAGAATTTATACGTCTAAAGAAATATTTAAAAAAATTGTATCTATAATTTAAATAATTTATTAAAACTTTATAAAATTACTAGATATAAGTTATCTACCTAAAAAATTTAATAAGAGATAAAACTAATTTTTTAAAGAATAATCAGTAATTAAATAAAATTTATTTAATTACTTATCAGGATCAATGATAAAAACTCTCAACTTCCATATAATTTAATATCGAAATAAATAATATACTATTAAATAAAATAAAATATAATGTCTAGATAAATAAAATTTATTATTAAAATAAGTCGTTGAAAAGTAGTGACTGGAATGCCCGCAAGCAGCGCGTGGCCAATGTGCAGAGTAAAACCGCAGCCTTAGCACGAATCTTTCACGCTGTCTTCTGAGGATAACTATTACAGAACCTATCCCACAATAATAGTAATAGTAATAGTAATAATGCATCTGGCAATTACCTGCACACTCGTTTTCACGGTCGCGTCTGGGTAATTAACTCGTAATCCAGCAAACATCCTAATCCAGATTTTAGCACAACAGTTAACTCTGAAGAAGAAGAAGAAGAAAAACCGAGCGGGAGGCTTAAATTAGCTCACCTCTTTGTGAAGATCGGTATTAATTTCTCATCTTCATCTTGAGCCTGATCATTACAGACAAAGAACACCGGCATAAACACTTAACATCAATTTAATCTTTATTATTATCATTATCTTATATTGCAGAAGGATTCACTCTTTAAGAATGTTAACTGATCGTTTATTTACCGCTACAATAGGCAATGTATCAACTATCATAATCATAATAATATCGATGGAGTATGTGCGATTATATCTGCCAGTATGTTTTCATTTTTATTTCGAAAAACTCATCTTTCATTTCAGCTTTACGTTATATTCTTTCATTTTTTTTATTCGAGTAAAAATTTTAATTGTACTTAATTTTTCTAAGTTAAAAAAATTGTTTAATTTAAAAAAAAAAATTTTTTTTAGCTTAAAAAAATAATTAAAAAATTTTGGATGAGTAAATTTATATTAAATAATTTTTTTTCTTATTTTTTGGAGTAAAAATTATATATTATTTATTCATTTTTTTTATTCGAGTAAAAATTTTAATTGTACTTGATTTTTTTAAGTTAAAAAAATTGCTTAGTTTAAAAAAAAATTTTTTTAATTTTGAATGAGTAAATTTTTAATAAATAATTTTTTTTTTTTATTTTTTGGTGTAAAAAATATAAATTATTTTTTTTTAATTAGAATAAATTATTAAAAAATGTAACAAGGGTAAACTTTTTATAAAAAAAATTTTTTTCTAAGTTTTATCTTGAAAGTGCCATAAATTATTTGAATTTAAAGAGAATGAATAAAAATAAAATATTCCCCAAAATTTTTTAAATATTCTATAAATTTTCGGATTAAATAGAGTCATTAAAAAGCTGCAAGAAAAAAAAATTTATTTGTTACAGCAATAAATTCGAAAGTACGTCAATTAAATCCTTAAACCCGCAAAATTATGTAAGGAAAATAAAAAGGATAATAATTTAAAAAATGTAAAAATAATATAATGTTATGAAAAAACAAACTAAACATCAAGTAAAGTCAGAGTCGCGCAGCGTGCAGCTAAACATAATGACAACGACATAAAAGCCGGCATTATCCGCGTGTTTGCAAAGTGTATTTGTGCTAGGCTCAGAGGGCCTGAAAAAGTTTCTACATCTAACCGCGTGAATGTTAATAAACATTAAGTTTAACTAAAAAAAAAAGTGTCATAAACTTTTAACAGCGTTAAGCCGTTTTACGTCTGCACTTTTATATTTACTATTTTTCCATCGGGTGCATTAATATTTATACTTCTGCAGAAGCTATTTTGTTATTTACATTATCCGGTTTATTATCCGCGTAAATGTCCATTTTTATTCGGGTACTTATTATCAAATAAAATTAAAAATCAAACGTCAACATCCAATAGCCGCAAAATGTTCAACTAACATAACAGTTTTGTAAGGAGAGTGTTTACATAATTGTCGCTACCCGGATAAAATATATTTATATATATTATACCGCTAGCGTGTAGTGCTTGAATATAGTCTCTAATTTCTAATGTGTAATAATCATAATGTGTATACTGACTAATATGAGTAGTTAGAATTTTTTGTCGAGGGTTTGGCGTGTAACTTGTAAGAAAAAATTGAAACTAAAATTTAAGTCATGTATAATTATAATTAAAAAAGGTGGATGTGAGAATGTGTGTGTATTTTCTAATGGCGTGTTAGAGAAACTTAAGGTGGATTAAATACGCACTTGAAGCTTTAAACATCCTCGTCAATGTCAAAATAAGTAGGTCGACCTATCGAGTTACGCCTCTCTCAAAAACGATCTGATGGTTCCACGTCGACATCGAGATCTCTCAGATAATTACATTCAGAAATATAATCGATAAATTCATTGCGAAATAACTCTATTTCACGTACATTTTTTATTTTTTATTGTGTATAATTGATCGATTGCTTTCTGGGTAATGAGAAATTATTTTTTATTGTGAAATTATTGCTTTTAAAGGTCAGCGGTATGTTCAAAAAATTTTTAAGAGTTCGCTGAGAAAAGTATCTAGAAATTTTTATGATGAAAAAATTATTTTGTTGAAAATAAAAAGAATTTTCAATAAAAAATCAATTATTTTTTAGCTTCAATATAATAAGAGTACTAGCAACCTTGCAGTCACTATGTGACTGCCGTGAATTGTGAACTACAAATAAATAAAATTTTACTTTATTAAATAATTACTTTTGTTATATTGCACTGTATTTTGATGATTTTAAAGATATAAGCTCATCCCGACGTTACACTCATCAAGAACTTTCATTTGAGTACCCACATGCATTTTGATATATTTTTCATATATACATATATATAATATATATAAATATATGAAAAATTGATGTGGGTACTCAAATGAAAGGTCTCGATGAGTGTAACATCGAGATGAACTTATATCTTTAAAAATGTCAATAGTTCAAAAGATACAAAGTCATTTCTTAATAGAGCTTTCATTTAAGTACCCACATGCATTTTGATATATTTTTCATATATACATATATATTATATATAAATATATGACAAAATTGATGTGGGTGCTCAAATGAAAGGTCTTGATGAGTGTAACATCGGGATGAGCTTATATCTTTAAAAATGTCAATAGTTCACAAGATACAAGGTCATTTCTTAATTATATATCTACAGATGGAGTATTTTTGAATGCAGTCTAAATACTTATCATCATAAATTGACTATCGATGAGAATGATATAAAACCTTGTAAATTTACAAATTTCAATCAAGACCCTTGCAATGACACTAAATTTCGCTAAAAAAAACCGTTTTTATCATACGAATATCCTGAAGACAAAATTTTTCTTATTTTCTTAATAATATAAATTATTTAACCACAAAAAAATTTGGAGCCGAAAAAAAACATTTCAAATAAATTCCAATTCTTGAATGAAGCAAAAAAATTTTTCTACCCAGTTAAAAATTCTTTTTAAAAAAGATAAAAATTAAAACCCAACGCCATCCATCAATCTTAATTTCACATTTTTCCGAAATACTCTCACCAAAAAGGCCCATAAAAGCTTTCTCTGAAATTACTCGGCAATAAAAACTGAACAATCGGAGTCGGACAAAAACTCCATCAATTAGCCGGTCAGCAATTCAGCTTTCCTTTATGTTAAAACAATAATAAAACACACGACACGACCAACCGTTCAAATCAATTGTCAATCACTGTACAAACTTGATCTCTCGATATCCCGATTGACATGTTATGTTACATTATACTCTCAAAACTTTAAATAAACATGTA